CGGTTGTGGGATCTTTGTACACGTGATGTAGCAAGTGGTGTGATTTGTATCCAGCCAATCAACGTTGAGTTTTAAAAGTGTGGGTTGGCGTTGCTAGCTCGTTCCAGCTCTCACATTCTGTTTATTTAAGGCGTTGTCGCACTGGTCGAGTTGGTTCGCTGTTCAATCGATCAATATTAAAATATGTTCACAACTTAAAATACTCATCAAAATATCATAGTAAAAACTTCAAACTATACCTATGTGAACCTTACTTTACCTACTAAACTAAATTTACTTACAATTTTATTGAACCAAGACCTTGATGACGTAATGTTATCATTACTCAACCGCGCGAAATATACCGAAGAATGATTGACAGAAAGGCCCTAAGCATGCACATTTTCATGTCAGAGAAGAACCAGCCTTGGACTTTGAATTATGTAAACACAACAGCCCACCATGCAAGGTTATCGTCCATCTTTGACAAATTGACGAGTTATCTATCTTGCCTAATGGACAGATAATTGACATTTTTACGCAAGTCCGAAATGAGATATACTTTATCTGTTTATTTTTCGTCAAAAATGCTCATTATCTCTCCATTCGACGTAACTAGTATCTATAATTACCTGGGGTGCGAATTGAACTATTTTTATACTATTTAGATATACTTTCGTAACAATCCTTCCCGCCTGGATTAAGCTGCCCTCAGCTTTTGAGATATATAAAAAAAAATGACTATATATTGTTTTAACTACTTAGCTCTGCGTGGCTTAACACGGGCATATTACCGAAATGTGACACCAAAATGAATGTGAAAACAAACCACAAAAATGTTTGTTTTCCTGTAAGTGTATGTACCAGGGACTAATTAAAATGATTTTGTCGATTCAATCAAAACGTCTGCCAAAACTGATTTAATTTTCATAAAATAACTTACTTTTGCAACAGCGAAAATTTTATTCAAATTCTTGGTTGACAAACTGTACACAACAGGAGATTATTATAAAGCTCTTCTGAAATAATACTTGACTTCCTAACTCATTTGGAATTTTTCTTATTAGCTTTGCAAATTTGAAAAATCTTTGCAAATGCCTTGAGGGAATTAATAATGACAATGCAAAAAATTTCATTTTAAATTTTCCTAACTTCCTGTTTTAATTTCCTGACTTCCTGTTCTGTTTTGAGCGTTGTCATTGGTCGATTATTTTTGTTAGCCAATTGCAACGCGCAGAACAGGAAGTTAGGAACTTTTAACAGGAAGTTAGGAACTTCTAACAGGAACTGAGGAAAATTTTATCGGCTTTTAGCAACATTGCAAATTTCTTCAAGGGATTTGCAAGGGAGTTTTTTAAATTGCAAAAGTATTAATGAGGAAAATTGCAATCAATTTAGAAACTCAGAAGAGGAACGCTTGGCGTAGTTTACCTGTAAAAGGATCAGGCAGCTGAATATCGTGAACTCTCAAACGACGACTTATGCACCTATCATTGTTTTCCCCCTGAGGGGGGGGGGGGTGCGGGCGACCCAGGGGACTTTGACCACACTATGAAGCACCGGGGAGGGGAATTTGACCTATGAATCAACTCCCAGAGTCGGCCATCTTGAAAGTTTGCGCGGTTTTGACATTAAAAGGCCCGGTAACAAGTATGGCGGAGAAGCAAGATCAACTTTCATCGAAAAAGGTATTTTATACACAGTGTCTCAATTTTTACCAAGTTTAAACCAGTATAGACTGTATGTTCGCGTTGGGAAACATCTGTGTGTCTTGTTATCTTAGGAATATAGTGGGGGAATTTTGACAGCTGTTCCTTGCCCAACAGTGGGGATTTTGACGACAAAGTTTTAAAAATGTTACCCCCCCCCCCCCCCCCCCCCTCAGGGGGAAAACATTGATAGGTGCATTAGATTTAACTGGTCTTGGGCTTCACTGACTTGAAAAAGCAATGAAAAACTCATTTCTTCTACGGCACAACCGCACAAGCAATAGCTACGAGTCCGGGTTTGAGGTAAACTGTTAACAGTAATTCCTCGATTTTGTCAGTATGCTTTGAGCTCCGGCAGCTTCATGGCTTTCAATTTCTGTTCTCTTGACATATTTTCCATTTTGACTATTGTTTCGTGACGAAAGCGAGCAAATTTATCTATTAAATGGCCGACACATTTGTGTATTTTGAATAGCATTTGTATTACATACACCTGTGGTACATACACCTGTATGCTAATAATTTATGTACTGGAAATCCGCGTTTGCAGAAATACATCAATCTCATGCTCATTGACAATGAAGTGCTCATGCAACTAAATTCCCCATCATTTTTTTATGATTGCATTTTAAATAAAATTCAAATTGTCCAAATAAGATTCATTGCCAAACTCTCTGAAGCTACGTATACACACAACGATTAATCGGGTCGATTTCACGTTTTGCTGAATGTTAATGCGCGAATCAAATCGAAACCTTAACATCCCCCCGGGCATACCCCCGGGAATTTGGATTTTGACGTTTTGGTTAGGTCAAATTCCCTACATATATACGACCCCCTAAACAAACTCCCCACCTTCCACTAGAAAAAAGGTCAAATTACCGCCTTCTTAAAATACTAAACAAGCAAATTCCCCAGATATGGGGGGCGGGGATGTCGAGGTTTCGATTTGCTTCGCGCATAACGACGAATGTTGTCAGTTGACAATGTCGCCAGATGACGTTGACAACGAATTTTTGAAATATCATTTAATTAAAGATGAATCGACCCGATTAATCGTTGTGTATAAACGTACCTTTGGCTTGCTTCATCCTTGAGATATTTGACGTCCTCATTATGACGTCACATTGCATAATGACTTTCTTAAACTTCACGATCTTGGGATCATATTGTGCATCAAAATTGTAAAACCATGATATGATGTCAACAGACTTGAATCAATTATCTGTAATAGTTATTAAAAGTTTTTTTTCAGAAAGCCAGTATGCAATTTGACGTCATAGTGACGACAATTAATAGTCATTTTGAATTTTTTTTACAATGCAGTTTATAAAAGCCTAGTGTGAAATTTCGTTGATTAAGCACTTTACTATAATTACTACCTTATTTTGCTCATATGGCCTTGGACTGGATCTAAATTGATTAACAATATATATACTTCAAGAAATAATACGGCAGAATGAGATTCAATTTTGTCCCGGACTAGAAAAGCTTTCACTTATAATCCGGTCCAGTCATCAATTAGAACCAAGCCAGGTTTGAGTTGTAGCTGTCTCAGAGGATGAACATCGGTGTGCCGTATTGATACAACCATAGTAACCAAAGTTGTCTTCTGTGTACGGGTCTGTACAGCGTTTAACTCCAGTTGGCCGAAATTGACAGCCTTTATTCGCGGCGTTAAAGGAATCACTGTGCAAGATATAATTCTTTTGAACTAGAAATGCAGTACAGTTGGAACAGCTTTGACCTCGGACATCAATCAGTTCTACTAAAGGGCAATGTGTGTCACTTAGAATATCGGTTAGAATATCGATTTTCTTTTTCGTCGCCTGAAGATAGTCACGGTAGACTAGACCATCGGTATCATACTTGCATGTAATGCGAAATTTACTGGAGTCATCTTGGATGGATTGCATTCTGGATTTTGAAAGACGATACGAATCCGAGCGAGGAGAATCTTGGTTTATAGGGAAATCCACAGAGTAGGGTTCGAATTTGAATTTCAATTTAACTCTTTGTTCATACGATTGAACCAGTGTCCATGTCATGGTGGAATTCAAATCAAAATCACAGAAAACTTCAAAGAGATTCATGTTATCGTCAAACACCTTGTACTTTCCAGGAACTCGATTACCATTCGTGTAACCACGACATGATCTGACAATATATTGACAAAGATTTCCTGCGTAGCCCGGAGAACAAAGACATTTATAACGAGGTGTTGTGTAATCTGTAGATGTGAGTGTAACATAACTTGTGCCATTTGGGCATGGATTTTTACGGCATCCGGGAGTGCATGAAGCAGAATTGGTTAACCCAACCTTGAAATAAAAAATGCAAGTCAACGCTGCTTACTCATCGAACTATTTTTAAGCAAAATTGAAATTAAAAGCAAGCGCGCAAGCCGAATCATACAATCCAAGTTGCGGAAGTGGGAAGATTTTTGTATTTTGACTGTAAACTAATTATTAAGGTTACATTATATGATGAAACTCTGATTTTGTCAAAAAAAATTTTTTATATATTCATATTAAGTAATGATATATCTCTCAATTCCAGCAACTTTTTAAAGAATATGTTAAAAAGCGACCGAGATATAGGGGAAACTTGTAATTATGATTGAACTTTGCTGGAGTCAAATATCAAGGTGTGAAATTCACTGAAGTATAAGCCGTTTGTTATTGTTCGGAGGCATATATCATTGCGACAACATTAGAAGGCTTACAATATAGTATTTACAGAATCTCTCGTAGTTCAAGCTATGTGCGATGTTGGCTTCGGTGACTTTTCTACTGCGTTTGCGTTTTGTAGTCTATAGACTATAATTCTATAAAGATAAATGTGATAAACACCTTGCCAAAAACTATTGAAGTTTGGTTGTTTGTGATTGGTTAACCGCACGAGGTCACAAGTGGATTAACATTGGGGGCGGAGAAAATGACAGAAAGAGTGGAAACCTCGTCAAATCTTAAATCGTCGTTTGAAGAGAAAGCAAAATTACCCAATCTCCTCGACAAAAAAGAGTTTAACGACAGAGCGTTTTATCCGATTCTTCCCAAACTTGACCACAATGTTAATCAATATAATAAAGGAACAAAAGCGTGTTCGCGTTTTCGATTTGGTGCATTATTTTTCAATTTGGAAGCATCTCTTCAACCGCTTATACCCGCGCAAGATAAGTCAAGTTGTCTGCTTTATATCAAAGCAAATACAATAGCTGTCAAAAAATTAATGCGAACACACTTTTCTTCTTTGGACATTTGAGATGAGAAATATGATATTTTGGGAGCTCCTGAGTTAAACGGTCTGTCGTTAAATCTCGTGGCGCAAGAGGTGCTATTTTTCAAAAGATGTTTCATTGCGACTACAGGTTAAAAGGTGGTGAATTTTGGTTAAAACAGTAGCTTCTACAGTTAGTTATCATTGCATGTACCAAATTTGAGAAACGTAACTAAAAAATTGAGTACGCAGTGACCATTTTTCTGAAACAGGAATCTATCATATGATGTAACCTTAATACATTTTTTCGTCTTGATTGACATGTTTATGCACAAGCGAGTGCATTTTCTTTGCTATGATATTTTTTTACAGGCCCACTATTCTGACCTCGAAGGGTCGGTCACGTAGACTAACCGTTATTAAATGATAATAGCGGATTTAATTACTAAATCGAAAACACAAATTGCTTGCTTTCGACCATATTGTAGTCAACACTTGAAGATATCTCATAAGTTTGGCGCTATTTGTTCGGCGTACTCGTTTAAGAGCTGAAACGATATACCATCGGGACCACTTGCTTCTGACGTGCCTAAATCGTTCAAACAATAGACCATTCCGGTAACTGCGTCACAACTACGCTGTTTGCAACTTAGGACCACCTTAAATGGAATAAATTTCAAGTTTGTTTCTCACGGGCTGTGTGTGGTCAGAGAAGCAGAACATCTTTCGTCAACACATGCATAAAAAAGAATTTTGGATTTTTACTATTAAATGTGGAAATAAGCTTAAACACGAAAACGAGGCTGAGGGTCATGGCCTTTCTTGGCCCCTCAGCCTCGTTTTCGTGTTTAAGCTTATTTCCACATTTATTGGTCAAAATCCTTTTTATGCATGTGTTGAAGAAGGATAGTCTGCTCCTCTGACCATAGCTCGTGAGAAACAAACTTAAGATCCATTCCATTTAAGGTGTTTCTAATTTGAAAACAGTGTTAGTCGTGACGTAATTACCGGAAAGGTCTATTGGCAACTTCGTCTACACTGAGAGGTTTAGTTTAATTCTTTATTCGTATTGGATTGAAGAGATGTAAAAACAGAAGAAATGTGCATGCACTGAAAAGTTCTCAAACTTTTCAAATGTTTTTCTGATTAATTAAATGCCAGTTTTTAATTGCACTGCTGTGCTCTTGCATATTTTAATGTAAAAAAGACATTATAAGTGATCAGATTATTACTATAATTTAGACTAATTTATCGATCATTCAGTAAGATATTAATAAAGAAAGACTGTATCATGATTTTTTTTCTGAGTAATTAGGAGGAACAGCGAAAGAATCAGGAATAATAAAAAACACCACAAAATTATGTGTATTCGTGAATTCAATTCGTGAATTCCACAGTCATTTCAGTCATTTACTTAAAAACCAGAGTAGCTAGCAAAAACAAGACCGATATTAAACCTGGTTGCCGTGAACTTACAAACTTGAAACTTTGGATTTGGAAACAGCTGAAGTGTCAGGAATATATAAATAGGTCTTACCGAATTTGGTACCATGTCATAATAAGAACACCCCATCACTGCAAGCAATGTTGAAGGTGATCGGAATTGATTGGATGACAACAGCTGACATTCTGTATTCTCGCACATTTGAAATGACATACACAGGCAATCCTCTAGGCAAGCAAAAAAACATTCGACAATCGATTTCATGGTTAGGTTACGAAAGGCATGACCAGACAAGACTTTGTTATTCAAAGCTTTGTTCATTTCAACCCGGTACTGTGACTTCACCAGAACTTGAAATACACTTGCTATCATAACCACAGCCACAGAACTGCATTGAACTTGAATGTCGTATAATCTCTGAAATGGTAAAATATACGGTTGAAAATGCTTGAAGAAATTATAATGTCGATAAAGTATAATAACAATTTCGCTTTCGGGGGGATTCGATTACCTACTACTTTATCCACGAGTCAACGGCGAGCCCGTTCCGGCCGTAAGCCCAGAAATGAGAACAAAAAAAAAAGAAATGAGAACAATTGAATTTCTTTGAATGTTTAATGATTATGAATTCTGTTGCTTCGATTTTTGCCTAAAACTTGCACTGCTTTCCTTTTGAATGAAGCTGTAAGTTTCTTAAATTACCCTGTTTAAATTAATTTAATTAATTTAAGAAGAAAATCAGATGGTAAAGGAGAGCAATTTGAAATTACTCAACAATTTGATTAGTAAAAACTGTTAATCGTCAAAAGCAGTTTACTGTTTATTCAGTGAATGCATGAACATTCAAAATATTCTATGAAGCGTTTCAGATTAAATTTTACATTAAATCAATGCCCACAAAATGCAAACTAACATACTCACAGTACATATTTCAAAAATTAATTGTTGTATAGTTAAAAGTACTATAACCTTTCAACTATTTTGCCGTTTTTTACAAAATAATTAAAAACTGTTAAAAATATCGTGTTCACGTGTTGTCATGGCAACAATTGACACCACAACGCGAGCCTGCATTTATTATGTCAGTAGTATAGGGAAGAGGGGTTCTGGCGCGGTAGTCATGACTATAGTCTTAATGGCCATGACTATAGTCTTAATGGTCATGACTATAATCTTAATGATCATAACAATAGCCTTGATAGTTATGACTGTAATATAGTTAATATATTTGACATTTGAGATGATTATAGTTATAATATGTTTGACATTTGAGATGATTAATGACTCTGGAGCAGACAAATATACAGGGTGTCGTATATCAAGTAGCAGTCGAACACGAACGGAGATTACCTTATATTTAATACTTAGAAACTAGTTAATAATTACAAGATAAACTACATGGTAGCAGCGGTGGGATGAATATGAACGCCGACTAGTTTACAAAACCGGAAAAGCTTGAATTCGAAGGCAACGTCGCCGAGAACTACAGAGGATTTCGTCAACAGTTTGAAATATACATGTCTGCTACAGGATTCGACGTGACAAACGTCCCGAAAAAGAAACAAGCTGCAATCCTGTTGAACATAGCTGGCGAAGAAGCTATAGAAGTATTCAATACATTTACATTCGCAGAAGATGAAGATAAAGACGACCCTGAAGGTATACTGGCGAAATTTCAGAATTACTGTGAGCCAAAAAAGAACATTACTTATGAAAGACATATATATATATTCAATTCGCGAGTGCAACAACAAACTCGATCGTTCGATGCGTATTTAACAGAGCTACGTGTCCAAGCTAAGAAATGTACTTACGGTACGCTTCAAGACGAACTAATTCGCGACAGATTAGTTGTGGGAATATGAGACGACAAAGTACGAAGTAGGCTACTTCGAGAGCCAGAACTGACTCTACAAAAATGCATTGACATTGCACACGCCGCGGAAATCTCACAGAAACAAATGCAAGAAATCAAAGATGAAACGAACACAGTTCATGATGTAAGACCAACAAATAGAACACCTACCGACAAAGATCGCCCGAGATATGAGTCGCGGGGAAAGTCGCAAGAACGAGGAAAATCAAAGTCAACTCGAATGCCAGATTGCAAATACTGTGGTACACAATATGCTTTCCGCAAAGAAGTATGCCCAGCGTACGGAAAAATATGTTCATCTTGTGGCAAGGGTAATCATTTTGCAAGAGTTTGCCAATCATCTAGAAGAGTTCATGCAGCTAATATTGCCAGTAATCCTGACTCAAGCGACGACGATATTTTTTATAGGAACAATTAAAATGCAACAACAAACAGCAATTGTACACGCCGTGGGCGTTGATGAATGGATTTCAGAACTGGAAATCAATGGACAAGCAGTCAAAGTCAAATTAGACACAGGAGCAAAATGCAACGTAATACCAAAATCGATATTCAATCAGATACGATCCAACGACACATTGCAGAAATCAAACACAAAAATAGTATCATATGGAGGGCACAAGATGGATGTATGTGGTCACACAACACTCTTGTGTGAATACAAAGAAAAGATGTACGTTTTGCGATTTTATGTCATTGATAGTGATGAATGCCCCATACTTGGATTGAAAGCATGTCAAGAATTGAATCTCATCCAACGAGTGAATGAAATGAAACTAACCACAACTGAATCCATAATGCAAGAGTATGCAGATGTGTTTGATAATAAGACACTTGGATGCCTGCCAGTACAGCATACAATCAACCTTAAAGAGGACGCTAAACCAGTAATCCATGCACCGAGGAAAATTCCTGTCGCTATACGCAGTATAGATGTCGCTATATGCAACATCTAGGAGTTATTGAACCTGTCGAAGAGCCAACAGATTGGGTGTCGTCTATGGTTACGATCACAGAGCCAAACAAGACACGAATTTGTTTAGACCCAAGAGATTTGAACAATACAATCAAGCGAGAGCACTATCCGATGCCCACGATAGAAGAGA